TGGAAAGCCGCCATCTTTGTTTTACGGCCTGTTCGCAGGCGTGCAGCCCTAATTAGTCGACCTGAGTGTTTAACGCACGCACGCACGCACGCACGCACGCACGCACGCACGCACGCACGCACACACACACACACACAGTAGGGAGCTTTAGATTTGACTACGAGTATGAGATTCGTCAAGCGAAACGCATTCTGTATGCTTACGCCATCCCATACTGACGCGAAAAAGTCGTAGCCGTCGCCCATCTGAGACAGTGAGTACGAAATTGTGCAAAAATCTCGTAGTCCTCACGACGACTTTTCAAAAGAAACAAAGAAAGTTGCCCTTTCTTGTTTTCCAAAAATAATTTTTAGATTTATATAGCGTTTATCCGGCACAAATAATATATTAGTACTAAATATCTGGCCTGTTTTTAATGTTATGACTTATTTACACGTTTGTAGGGGATTTTAGTCTGCAGGAGAGTTAGTTTATGAAACGTTTTCTCTCGTTTTCTCTGTATATGCGTAGAGAAATCACGGATCTTGTTTTTCTCTTTAAAATTATACATGAGTTAGTTGATATACCAGGAGGTTTCCTTTCTTGGAAAAATACGGGTCGCTCTTTGCGCAACAGTGACGACATGACACTTACAGTGCCTTTTGCACGCACAGATGTCTTTAAGCACTCATATTTCGTTCGTGTTACACGCTTATGGAACTTACTTCCTTACACATTGCGTTCTATTCAGCATCTGTCGTACTTTAAGAAACAACTTACTCTATATTATTTTAAACTTTTCCCTTCTGCTTTCAATCCTTAATCAGATATTCAGAAAATTAGAAAATATATAAAAAAAAAATATATAATTTAGACTTTTAATTTAGAAATTGTAAAATTATATAATTTAGGAATTATTTGTATTATGTGTACTGTGATGTTAGTTTAATGTTCTGTTTGTAATTGGGAAACCATTCTTGAGGGAATCTTGAATTCTGTTTATGGTATGCCCTAATACATCTAATTTGATATTTGTAAATATATGGAATTATATGTATTGAATTTTAATAAATACAAAAAATACAAATACTGCTATAAAAGCAACATTTGAATGGAAACGAAAACGACTACGGTAATTTCCTCGCACGCGATCAAATCTCGTACTCGTACTCGTACTCGTAGTCGTAGTCAAATCTAAAGCTCCCTAGTGTGTGCGTGCGTGCGTGCGTCACACACAAACTCGATAGCATAGTATCTAGCGCTACGCGCAGATACAAAAATTACAATCAAGTGCAGTGTAAATAAACCGCTTTTTCTAATAACGCAGGCTGCATAAAAAATCGGTGACTATATAAGAGGGGGGTAATGGGGTATTTTCGTGCTGCGTATTGGGGTAATTTAATTATTCGTTCTTCGTTCAGTCATCTTTTTATTAAACGTTTTTCGATCCCGACATGGATGCCATGTATCGTGCTTGCGGTGTATTCAATATCCGTTCTCCGTTTTCAGCTGTATTTAAAGACGGTTATTTCTCGTTTCTGGACAATATATTCCATTAATTTTGTTTCTGGGTTCTAGCTATGTTTTGATTGGGGAACGGAGGTTTCAAAGTTTATATAAATCATGAACATCGACGCAATTGTAAACAAATAGGTGAACACACCGCCTAGTACAGACTGTTTATATTCACCTTTAAGACTTCTAAGTATGATTGTTGCTTACATTTCATGGTCATTTTACATTCCAGATTCGTAATAAATTTATGTTACGTGCTTCAGGACTTCCTTCTTTTATTTTTCATGCTTCAAGATCGCTGCATATTATTTTTCGTGCTTCAGGATCGGTACCCCCCCCCATTACCCCCTCATATAACAGAAGTATCCACTAAGATTCACTAATATTAAATAAAACGTCTTTATCTAAAAACGCTGGCTCAATTTTTTTTGTTTTGTTATTGTATGTTCAAATATTAAACGATTTATAATGTTGAATCACTTGAATGTGATATTAAAATCGTTTAAATGTGATATCAAAATCGTAAATACTTTAGTATATTAATCTTATAAAGGCGAACTTTAAACAATACTAAAATAGCTGACTCGTCCCCAGTCGTCTCTGTGAGCACGTGCGAATTGGACGAGTCAGCTAAAATAGGCCTCTGTCCCAGAGTGGGAAATTTGACCTTTTGAACTGCTGTTAGGCTAGGGCATTTGACGCTAAGTCACACAAGATATGGGGCATTTAACTATTTAATACACCAGATTGAGTAAATGAAAATGGAGTATACTTTTAGAAAACATTATAAGGCATGAGGTATAAGTTTTTTAATACAGTCTCAACCCCGTTTCCAGGGTCGTCTTTGATACAGTGTTTCATTTATTAAAATTTTTAGCCCGCGTTATTAATAAAGCGGTTTGTTTTACACTGTACTTGATGTAATTTTTCATTCCACATAGTCATTCCGTTGCCTTTTATAGTCACCGAAAGAGCGATGCTTATATATATATAATATGTTAACACTGTTTTTCCCAGTAAGGCGAGGGCACAAATTACGCCAATATCCACACAGGCCTGTAACTAGTGTAGCCAGAAAATTATGGATGCAGATGTGAGGATGAGGTGCACTGCTAAAATTCTGAAGTCTTTACTCGCCAGAAGACTGAAGCGTCATGGTGGAAAAGACGGAGTACGGAGTACGGTGTACGGAGTACGGAGTACGGCGTACAACAATACACTTTCGCTTGCTTTTCAAAGGTCATAAATCACTAATGCTGTTGTTTAGAAATACAAACTTTTGCGCTGATTTTGGAGTATTTTTTACTTGTTTGAAAACCAGAGATATTAAGCGCAGCAAACAATCGGTCCTGAAAGTCGAAGATTAATAATAATTTTCCCTCAAAAGAGGAAAGTCGTGGGTAAAAAGTCGTGCGTCGTGGGTAAAAAGTCGTGGGTCGAAAATGCTCTAAATTTCCATTTTTCGCTTAGACACTGCTTTTAATTTGCTAAAATAATTTCTGTTTTAGCAAAACGCGTGTAAGCCGACAAAAAACATGCATAAATACCTAGTAATCCGACACAAAGTTCATATTAATCTGTGCAACAAGCGTTATATGTCTTGCGTTTCTATTCGTTTCTGAACATTAGCGAATGACATTCCAATGGGCGGAAAGCTGCACTTAAAGATTAATATTGTCGGGGATTGCCTATAGCCCTTTACTTTGTTTTGAAATAAATGCACGGCAGAATGAATCACGTTGGCTTTTTGTAAATTTATATCAAACAGTTTAATACAAAATAATTCACAATCTCTTGTTCACGCTATAATCACATTTGAACACTGTTCATTTCAAATCATCCAATTCGGACTTTTTAAAGTATTGATTTATTCGTATGAGATGTCATTTCAAATCATCCAATTCGGACTGGGCGGACTGGATCAAATTGCGCGGACTTGAAATCTAGTCCAGTCCTCATTTGAAATATTACATAATAATTTCCAAAGGTTGGCAGGTCTTGAACGTTTTGAAATACACACACGAAGTAAACTCCATAAAACAAGTAGAGCAGAAATCAATTCAAAGCATCTAAAATTACGGCTTATACGCAAGACATATAACGCTCGGCTTGTTGAACAGATTAATATGAACTTCGTGTTGGCATTTTTGGGCATTTAATCACATACGCGTTTTGCTAAAACGGAAATTATTTTAGCAAAAGCAGTGTCTGAGCGAAAAATGGAAATTTAGAGCATTTTTCGACGCACGACTATTTTACCCACGACACACAACTCCAACGAATTTTTACCAGGCGATTAAGGAAACGTATTGAGCCGAACAAATTAACAAACTAAGAAACTCGCAGGCAGAATATAAAGCGCAGACACTGCAATAATTGTTGCATGCTATTCGTGTGTGGGAAGTGATAATCAAAGACATGCAGTCTTTAAAATCATGCTTTACTCACTCTAGAGGTGCAGATATATAGCTCAGCCGGAAATTATTTAATTCCCAAAAAGAAAACAGCCATAAAGAACCTAATTAGAACAAAATCTTTGTATTTAATAGAGGAGTATTGAAAATTTAACTCTCGTGTTTTCAAGCATAAAATCGCGGCAAATTGCACTGTTGTCGCACAAAAGTTGCGGTCAAAATCGTTTACAATACATTGCAGATTGCAAAAAGCCTTGCCGGAAGTTGAAAGTGTAATTGCTAGTATAAACGGACGGACCTTATAGATTTTTTTAATCTAAGGAATTCTTGGGATTGGCAATGAACGCACTTGCTACGTCGAGTCACATCACATGTGCTTTTCGTTTGGCACAAAATGTCGTTTAAGATAAAATTGAATCTTTAGGCAAAATAAACATTTATTTGACAGACTCCGCGTTTTCCACTTTATGCCCCGTAAAGTGGAAAACGCGGAGTCTGGTTCAGAATTCAAATAAAATCCAATCTTTAGGAAAAATAAACAATTTTTTGATAAACTTTGTACTCCGACTCCATCTTTTCCACCATGCCGACTGAAGCGGGTAATAATTATTGTCAAAATGTTCCATCTTGTCTAAAAATATTTGCCTATAGCTACTCTGTTATCTTTAAGAGGCACAGTTTCCTGCGCGCCTTATTAAGTTATTTCCTTATCGCTAATAATACCAAGACGGCAGACATAAAATTCCTATTACCAAGCAAATATTTTAGCTAGGTATAAGTTCCCCCTATAACCATTACATATGTGTTAACATTGTTTTGCCCAGTAAAGGCTGTAAAGTGAGGGCAAAAACTACCCCACAGCATCTCAGCGCAAACATGCGCCCATCCCAAGGAAAATAGCTTCAACTCAAACAGTCGTCCTTGCCAACTGTTGGAGATAAGCAATAGACCCAGCGAGTTGCAATGGCGGAAAAAGGAATCATAGGTACCTGCGCTAAACTCAAACAATGGCCCTTGCAAACTTTCTGAGATAGACGCATTCATAAAAATTATCGAGTGGAAATTTATGTACATTTATTAGACCTTAAATAGGTCCCTGGCAGGAATCGAACGTGCAGCCCTGCGTTTTCGGTGCAGCGCTCTGACCAACTAAGCTACAGATCGAGCTGAGGCCAATTGTCGACGAGCTCTAACGGAACAAGTTGATGTATATATAAATATTAAGATAGGATATACTTCCATGTGTATAGGTTATGGGTAAATATCTATGTTTTTGTTTGCATCTCACTTACATTATACTTATATTATTCAAACGAGTGAGATGCCAACAAAATCTTGATACCAATAACCTAACATGGCAGTAATAGTATCTATTACTCCGAGCGAGCAAGTCCTATAGGCTATACCAAAATGTAACTATACATATATAAACGATTATCAGCTACCTTGAAATGGATTGAACTCTGATGTATTTATGAAACGCATTAGACTTCCATCAACCAAGGATATGAATTTGCGAATCATACCTTGCCATGCCGCGTAAGAAGCCTCACCAATACGGACACATCATGTCTCTTCTAACGATTGTTTCAAGACTACACCACACTACGTATTGAGTTTCAGACTCAGACAGCGGGAAGGCAAATCACAGTTTTAATGGGCAAATATGCCTCTCATGTTACCGGTGACCCGTTTTGCGTGAAAGGTTACGGTCTCCGTAGCCTACGGTGTAGACCCCGACAGAAACACGTTTCGTGAGGGGTCTACGAATAAACAAAGAAAAGCTTGCCCGGCCTACGTCATATCCGTTTTACGTTTTGGGTAAATTAACTTCAATTTATTCAAATTTCTGAAGCGTGCGTGAATGTAAATTTTCATTTGGCGCTTATTAAAGGCATTAAAATGTTCCATGGCGGGCTTTGTTACTTTGTGCAATACAAATGTGTTCTTTGCTTCAAAGTTCCGTCGAATAAAATTCTTGGACAGCAAGGACACTGTACGTAAGGAGTTACTATTATTATTATTAAGCTTTATTTCGCATGACCTATTTACAGGTATTGCAGCATTTATCTAAAATTTATAAAACTAGTGTATATGAGTGGTCAGAAATGACCTAAAGTATCTAAAATAATGGTTAGAAATGACCTAAATATTCTATAATAATGGTCAGAAATGACCTAAAGTATTTATAATAATGGTCAGAAATGACCTAAAGTATCTATAATATATAATGGTCAGAAATGACCTAAAGTATGTATAATAATGGTCAAAGATGACCTAAAGTATCTATAGGGATGTATAAAGTATCTATAAAGTATCTATAATAGTATATACATGCAGTAGTTAGGTTATTTATCCTACACGAGTAAAAATCATCATGTTGATGCAAGTTGTTCAAAAGAGGAGCGAACAACGCTGTGCCGCACCCCGTGAACAACATTGTTAACAAGTTGCCGAACCATCAACATTGTTGCAACTTGTTGACAATCATGTTAACAACTTGCAACAGTACTGATGGTCATGAACAACTTGCTAACAATACCGTTCACGGGGCGCAGCACAACACCGTTCACTCCTGTTTGAACAACGCCGAACAACCTGATCAATTTTTACCCGTGTACTGCGTTTTGTTCCATGGATCTGAGACTATTTTCTCTGTTAGCAAAACACGTGGAGATAAATTCGGAAAAAAGATTAATGATTACTGGATCGTTGGAAATCATTGTGTGTTGCAATAATTTTCGTTTACTTTCATTTGTTACATTCAGATCAAATATTGTTTTCAAAATCGGATCTGAGTTGTCTCGAAGTTGATTGTATTTTTGGCATGCAAGACTGAAGTGAAATTCATCTTCTATTTCGCCAGAATTGCACAGTTTGCAGGTGCGTTCTTCACGAGGGATATTTTGGTATCTCCCGTATTCAATTTGTAGTTTGTGGTTGCTTATTCGAAATTGCGTAAATGTTCTTCTTGTTGTTGGATTTTTAATGATGGATAGGTATGGTTCAACTTTGTATTCGGTTTTGAAAGTGGATAGAAATGTTAGTTTTGAGGAGTTCGTTATTTTATGTTTCCAGAATTTGATGTATTTTTCTTTCATTTTGTTTACAACTGTCGTAGTGTCATAGTTTAAGATAGCTAGTTCAATATTTAATTCGTTTGGGTAGTAAGGTTTCTGTAGATTAACTGTTTTTGAGTAATATGATTCTTTATGGTTGGTATAAAGATCTTTGGATATGTTTAAGCTTTGTTTCGCAATTGAGTTTTCGGGTAGCTGGTAGATATGTTTAAAATAATTAATTATGTTTTTCTTGATTGTTAAGAGGAGAGGGAATTTACCAAGTTCTCCCCTGCAAGCCACATTTGTTGCTTTTCTGTTTACACCCAAATATAACTTGCAGAATCTTAGATGAACTCTTTCGATTTCTGAGTTCTCCCATTTATTATAGTCGTTTTTTTCGTAAGCACCCCAAATTTCCGAGTTGTACAGTAATATGGGGGAAATGATCGAGTCAAAAATCTTCATTGCAAGTTTTGGTGTTAGTTTGCGAAAGTCAATGTTTTTTCGGATTTTATAAAGTGCATGAAGAGCTTTTTCACCCAGTTGTTGCTGAGCAAGTTTGAATTTTCCGTTTTGTGATATTTTGAGGCCAAGGTAATTGTATTCCTTAGTTGTATCTATTTTTTTGTCTCCAATGTGAAATTGTATCTTGGTCGGTTGGCTGGAGTTACGTTTTTGAAAAATCATAATCTTTGTCTTTTTAGTATTTATCTGCAATAACCAATTTTCACACCATTCATGGAGTTGATCAAGGCAATTTTGAAGACCTGATTTTGATCGGGAGAGTATTACTAGGTCATCTGCGTATAGTAGACTATTTAATTCGGTTCCGTTTGGTAACATGAAAAGGTCTGATTCGATTTTTTCGAAAAGTTTCGGTATTTCATTGATGTAGATATTAAAGAGTAATGGGCTTAAAGTGCATCCTTGGCGAACACCTTTTTTGTATGGGAAAAAGGGGGTTCGGCTTTCTGAGAGTTTGATCGCACATTTAGTATTAGAGTACATGTCTGTGATAAGATCATAGAAATGTCCTCCTATTTTGTTCTGCAATAATTGATAAAACAGGCCTTGGTGCCATACAGAGTCAAAGGCTTTTTTAAAGTCAACGAAGCATGCGTAAATTTTTTTGTTTTCGTTTTGGTTTATAAATTTGTCGTGTAGAGTTTTCAGTGTGAGTGAGTGATCCGCAGTTCGATTTCCAGGAATAAAACCAATTTGGGATTGATGTATCAGTTTTTTTTCATTTACAAAATCCATTAGTCTAGTGTTTAGGATGGAGCAAAATAGTTTTCCCATGCAGCTAGAGACACATATGCCTCGGTAATTATTGGGATCTAGGGAGTTCCCTGACTTGTAGATCGGAGTTATAAGACCTTCCGTCCAAGTTTCAGGGAATCTTCCAGATTCTAAGATTTTATTAAATACCTTTAAGAAACTTAGTGGAGCTATGTTGGCGCTAAGTTTTATCATTTCATTTCTAATTTTGTCACTATAAACAGCTTTCTTTGATTTTAGTTTTCTAGTTGCGGTGAGTAATTCTTTTTCAGTAATAGTTTTATCTAGGTCATTAAATTGGTCTTTAAATCTTTCAGATTCTTTCAAGAGTTTTATAGTTTCTTCTTGTTTTTCAGTAATAGTGTGTTCCGAATGAAGTGTTTGAAAGTG